GTAGTAGTAGTAGTAGTAAGATTCGTAGTAGTAGTAGTAGTAGTAGTAGTAGTAGTAGTAGTAGTCGTAGTAGTAGTAGTAGTAGTAGTAGTAGTAGTAGTAGTAGTAGTAGTGTAGTAGTAGTAGTAGTAGTAGTAGTAGTAGTAGTAGTAGTAGTAGTAGTAGTAGTAGTAGTAGTAGTAGTAGTAGTAGTAGTAGTAGTAGTAGTAGTAGTAGTAGTAGTAGTAGTAGTAGTACTAGTAGTAGTAGTAGTAGTAGTAGTAGTAGTAGTCGTCGCATTGGTAGGGGTAGTAGTACTGAGGGTAGGTGTAGGAGTAGGAGTAGGAGGGGGAGTAGGAGGAGGAGAGGAGGACCAGAGGAGGACGTTAATGTGAGGACATGACAAGGAGGAGGAGGGTGAGGGAGCGGAGCAGGAGGACTATCGGGAGGAGGGGCAGGAGAAGGAGGACTATATAAAGGTAAAGAAGGAAGGGGGTACTTTGCGACGCCATGGAGTCTTGCGCCCTGTATGTATGTAGCGCAGTCTTCTTCTCGCGCGCTCCATGCGACTCTGTTATCATGGCCCCCCCCGCATGTTCGAACAGTTCGTGGTTGCCGTGCAATTCCACCGTGGCTTGTCTGTTGTTGACGCATTGCGACGGCCTGCGCTAGAATATCAGCGCGCGCGAAGCGCGCACGCGTGGTTCTAGTAAGTCTGTTTGTGCGCATGTGCATGTGCACTTCCATGTGCGTGCACATGTACTTGTCTAGATGTATGTATAAGTTTACGTATGTGTATATGTAGATGTGTTTGTGTATGCATATGTCTATACATGTATATGTTTATGGCTACGCATGTGTATGTGAATATCCATATGCACATGTAGATGTGTATGCATATATAGATGTATATGTATAATTCTACGTATTTGTATTTGGGTACGGGTATGCATGGGTGTATGTATATGTGTATGTACATGCTTACGTATATGCATACGTACATGTATATGTATGTATGTATGTATGTATGTATGTATGTGTATATATATATATATATATATATTCACGTGCACGTATACATGTGTGCATAAATGTATATATATATATAGGTGGGCATGTGTGTACTGTTTTTATGCATGTGTGTATTTATGTATATATACATGTACATGTCCATGTATGTGTATACTTGTAAATGTGGGTGTGTAGGTGGCTATGCATGTGTATACGTATATGTACATTGTATGCGTAGGTCTATGTTATTTGTTTTATATATATGTATGTGTATCTGTGTATGGGTATGTGTATGCGCATGCACATGTATATGTATATGCTTATGTATGCTCATATTTATATGTAATGGTTATGTTTATGTATGTATATATGTATATATATAGTTGCGTTCGTACATATTATTTCTATGTATAGCTATAAGCGTATTCCCATGTGTATGTACAGTATGCACATGCACAAGTCTATGTATATGTGTATGTATGTGTTCAGGTTCATGTCCATGCTGAAGCCAATGTCCATGTATCCGCCACGTATTATGCTCGTATGTCGATGTGTGTGTACATGTGTAGGTATCCGTACACGCCAGGTATAAACAAGGTTTGCCTACATGTTGTATATATGTATGTCTGTGCATATATGTCTAGGCGTAGGTGCACGTACACATTATATGTACACGTGCACATACATAGATGACTCCCTGTGTATATATGTATATATAGGTGTGTGTTTGTATATATATATATGTTTTTAAACAGTATCCGTCCTCTTTCTTCTTGCCCATGGCTCTTTCTATTTTTCCCATGTCCCAGCCTCTCAATCATGAATTGGATTGGTAATTTCGTTAAGATTTTGTCATCGTTGTTTATCCGTCGTTGACGCACTGCCACGGTCTGCGCTAGAACCTCAGCGCGCGCGAGTCGCGCGCGTGGTTCTAGTCGGTATGTATTTTTGTGTTTCTATATGCTTACGCTCATTGTCATGCTCATGGTCATGTCCATGACAATGTTCATGTATGTGCCTGAGCAGGCGTATATGTATATGTGCACGTGCAGGTATCGTTTTTACAAATTGAGATTCCGGCATCTGTTTATGTATGTACATGTATGTTTAGATGGTGTATATGACACCATACATGTTTATGTATGTGTATACATATGTATTTATGGTTTTGTGGTGGATATTTGGTTGCCACTATTTTTTCTTATCCATGGCTTTTTATTACGATTATATGTTTCGGCCCCTCAATCATTGATTGTGTGTGTGGGTGTTTGGGGATTGCTGCTGCAGGGAAATGATGGTTGGGAGGAGGAGGAAGAGGACGAGGCTTCCCCCTTCTCGTCGTCGTCCTCCTCCTCTTCCCCTTTCGTCTCCCACACGAGGCAGTCTAGGCAGTGCGACGGAGGGCGCAGCGTCGACACGTCCGCGGGGGCGGAGGACGAGGGCGACAATCGCCGCGTTTTTAGCTGCTCGCGCCAGAGGGGAAACCCACTAGGGCTTCCGCGGGACGCCGATTTGCTCCGCCTCCCACGTCGTCGTCGTCGTCGTCGTAGTCCTCCTCCTCCTCCTCCTCCTCCTCTTCCTGCTTGTCCCCCTCCTCCCTCCACGCGGCAAAAGGACAAATTCCTGGACTTCGAGACGCTGTGGGGCGGCTGCGTCGAGGAGTGCAAGGCCGGCGCGGAGGCGCGCGCTCCCTTTGCCCGCCGCTGCCCGGCGCCGTCCCCCGCCGCCGCCCGCTTCGTCGTCGTCGTCGTCGTCGTCGTCGTCGTCGTCGTCGGGGGAGGAGGCTGGGGAGGGAGGGAGAGGGAGGGAGAGAGGGAGGGAAGAAGGAGGAGGAGGACGAGGAGGAGGAGGAGGAGGAGGAGGAGGAGGAGGAGGAGGAGGAGGAGGAGCAGTTGGAGGACGAGGCGGAGGAGGAGGCGGAGGAGGAGGAGGAGGAGGAGGAGGAGGAGGAGGTGGAGAAGGAGGATCAGGACGAGGATTTTTTACCCACACGAACAAACCATCTCAGCCACGCTTGATTACAAGATCATCTGGTGTGTTGTCGTTGGCACAAACGAAAGCTTCTAAGACAGGGATGCGTCTGTTCAGCTGGATGTTGGCTGTTAGCCGAGAGATGGTTCGGAACATCAATTAATAATCGAAGTTGTGATGAACATCGTCGCGACGACGAAGGCGCGCAGCAGCAGCTTCCCCATCGCCCCTCCTCCTCCTCGCCGACGTGGCGGGTACGCCGTAGGTAAGTTTGTGTTGGTGGCCAACGAGGGTTTTCCCGCCGCGCAGGAGGGGGGGTGGGCAGAAGGGGGGAAAAGAGGGGGAGGGAAGAGGGGGGAGAGGGAAAGAGAGGGAGGTGAGGAATGTGCCCAGGAGGCTTTAGACCCTGGATGGTTCCTTATCTGAGGGTGGCGGCGGTGATATCCAGTGCCAAGCCTCCCTTTAGCGACGGAATCAAAAACGGGGTCGTCTGCGCCGACACTGGAGCGTAAGTTCCAGCGTAAGGTCGCGCGTAAGGGCCCTCGCTTCCAGTGCAGCGTGCCGCGCTGGCGGCCCGCGTGAGCTGCGGCGCGGGGTCGCTACGTGTGTCATCTTATGTAAGACCCGTTTCTCATCGCTCAATGGGTGCTCCAGCGGCTTCCAGGCCCTGGATTCGGGATCCAATGGTTCCCTATCAGGTGCCCTCACCATATTGCCTCCCCGCCCCGCGCGCTCGGGCAGCCCCAGCCGCGCGCAGGTCCAGGCCACCTCGGCCGAGGAGTTCACCTGCGCCTTCGTCAAGGAGCGCGCCTGCCCCGGTGGCCGGCCGGGGCGGCCGGGAGTGCCCAGACGCCGCGACCACCGGCGCCGACCACCCCACCCGACGCCGACGCCGACGCCGCCGCCTCACGCCGACGCCGCCGCCGAGGACGTGGACGCGGACGCGGACGCGGACGCCGACGACGAAGACGACGGCGACGGCGACGGCGACGACGATTACGACGACGACGGCGGCGGCGGCGGCGGCGACGACGACTGTGACGACGGCGCCGGCGACGGCGACGGCGACGACGGCGACGGCGACGGCGACGGCGACGACGGCGGCGACGATGACGGCGGCGGCGGCGACGACGACTGTGACGACGGCGACGGCGCCGGCGACGGCGACGACGGCGACGGCGACGGCGACGGCGACGGCGGCGACGGCGACGGCGGCGGCGACGACGACGGCGGCGGCGGTGGCGGCGGCGACGACGACTGTGACGACGGCGATTGCGACGGCGACGGCGACGGCGACGGCGACGGCGACGGCGATGGCGACGACGACGACGGCGACGGCGACGGCGACGGCGACGGCGACGGCGACGTTCACGGCGACGGCGACCACGACGACGACGACGACGATCACGAGGACGACGACGACGATGACGAAGACTTGCGACGTGCACCGCCCTGGGGACTGGCGATTTAGGATGGGGGCCGTGTGCGTGTCGGTGAAGGCCCCCCCCTGGGAGGGTCCGCGGGGATGATTTCGGGGGGGATTCCCGCCCCTGGCCTCTCTCCTCTCGCTAGGGGAAGGGGGGGGGAGGAGGGAGGAGGAACGGGGAGGGGGAGTTGGTGGGGGGGAGGCGGGAGAGGAAGGAAGCGTGGGATGTGGGATGCGCAGGAGGATGAGGACCGTGGAGCAGTCCTGGGGGCAGGGGCAGGGGTAGGGGAGGACGGAAAGGTGGGGAGGATAAGGGGGAGAGGGAGGAGGAGGAACTGGAGCATGAGGGAGAGTAGCAGGAGGAGGGGGGGGAGGAGGGGGGCGATGCAGAGAGCGAGGATTTGGAGGAGGAGGACGAGGTGAAGGAGGAGAAGGATCAGGACGAGGATGGGGAGGGAGGAGGTAGAGAGAGGAGGGAGGTAGTGAGGCGCAGTTTGATTCAGCAATGTTCAGCGCTCTTCGTCCTCCTCACTCCCCTCTTCACCCCTGCGTCTCTTCATGCCTCTCCTCCGTTCCTCAATATTTCTTAACATTTTGTTCCTTCCCTTGTCCTTCGCCTTCCCCCCTTCCCCCTCCTTCTTCCCCCCTCCTCTCTCTGCTCTTGTGAAGGACACCGCGAAGATCACGGTGAAGTACAAGATCAACAAGACAAAGGGGGAGATCTACGGAGAGCATTTTGGGCCGCTGGGCAGGCGGGAACGCGAACCGGGAAAGAGGAATGAGATGATATTGGGACGTTCCCCAAGCAGTCCTTGCACTGAGGGGCTCTTGCTTGGCTCGCTTGAGGTATTGGACGGGCCGCCGAGGATTTTCCATGTTCCCGCCCGTTGGCGCTCGTGTGCGCTCGTGTGCGCTCGAGGAGGAGGAGGAGGGGGAGGGGGAGGAGGAGGAGGAGGAGGAGGAGGAGGAGGAGGAGGAAGAGGAGGAGGAGGAGGAGGAGGAGGAGGAGGAGGAGGAGGAGGAGGTAACCAGGTGGGCTAAAGTAACCAGGTGGGCTCCCAGAACTTCTTTCGCTCAATTCGTACTGTTTCATTCCCTGTTGGCCAGTGCAGGGTTTGTTTCTGTATGATAAAGGCGAATACTCAGTATGGCATCTTTCAATCAGATCGGCGATCAACTGTGATTGACTATTCGGAACATCTTCGCTCCCGATTTGAGATCCCCCCCGCAGAAGCAGGGCCGCAAGGAGGATGATCAGGGGAGGTCGAAAGCAGACGCTTCTGGTGCTTCGGGACGGGTAGCATCACCTACGACCAGCAGCTGACGTGGCTGGGAAATGCGGTGGCGCAGTCGAACGAAGCCACTTTGAGGATCTTCGGGGCCCAGGTGGAGGAGCGTTTCGTGGCGCTCGAGACTTCCAACTCCGACTTGACCAAGAAGTTCGCTGCGCAGGACCTGCGCACTCAACAGTTGGAGTCGCAAATGCCGAGTGCCAGAGCTACGGCGTCCGGCGGAGTGCCCAAGGAAGTCCAGGAGCAGATCAACAAGATGGACGAGGTTCTCAAAGAGTTGCAGGAAAAGGTGGGGGCCGGGCGTCATTTTTCGGCCTCGGGGACGGCTTCGGTTACAGCCAGCACTTTGTCGGCGACTCCATGGGGCCAGCGAACCAGTTTTACCATGGGCAATTTGGGTTGGAATACGCACCGCAATGAAATCGAGCAGCGTTGTCGTGATGTGCTCCAGCGAGTTGGGGCTCCAGATCCGGTCAACCTCAAGGCTGGCTATGCGTTCGGCTCGACCTGCGAGGTAATCTACAAGGATCCGAAGGTGGGCCAGAACCTCCGGGAGAAGATTCGGAAGGCGTCCATCAAGGTTGACGGGCAACAGAAGGCGGTATGGTTCGATGTGAAGAAGACCACGGAGGAGCTGCACCTTGGCAAGCTCAAGAGACGGGCCTTCACGGAGATCCAGACTTTGGACGCGAAGGCGGGCTGGAGTAAGACGTTGGAGGAGTGCAGGCGCAGCAAAAAAGTTTACCTTGGTACTGATCCTGTGGGGGAGGTGCGGGCGGGGAGGGGGCGCTGGCTTCCAGAAGGTCTTCAGCGTTACTCCGACGATGGCTTAGAGAAGGTTGCGGCGAAGATCAATGCGTGAGACCAGTGGCTGCGGGTACTGGGTCGTGGCCGGCCTGCTGTCTTGTTTGTTAACGCTCAGGGGAAGGCGAGAACGGACGAGCAAATTGCCGGACTCTTGGGGTAAGCTGCCACTTTGGTTGGGGTGCCATGGTTTTTTTTGGCCATCGCGGAAGCTGACTATGTTCGTGGTGGGGCTGACCCCGCCCGCATCTCTCCTGAAGGTCATACTGCATCGGCACTATCCAGGGGAGGTTTCCTGGGCGATGGAACTTGTTCTGAACGCGTCTTTCGCGAGTTGTGTGACAGGCGATATGCCATGGCAAGATCGGTCCGACAAGATGGACCTCCGTCTCGGCTTGCATTCGTCCTTGATTGACTCTGGGGAGGCAAATTTCAGAATGGTTATTACTCACGGAGCTCATGGCCAAGAGTGACATAATTCATTCGACGATGCAATTTGTCTATTCGGAGAAGGCCGGGCTACATATTTTTGATTGTGGATGGGTGATTTCAATGCGAATGGAAACGCGCAGTTTGGCTAGGCCACTGATGACGAACGAGCTCAGTGGAATGACCAAGTGTCGCGGACATCGGGACTCGGCCTCTCCTGTGCTATCCCGGCGGCGGCGCCGCTGATATCGTATGTTCCGGGTAATACGTGGATAGACCACTGTTTTACATCAAGTGGCTTCGGGGTGTCTGCTCATTTGAGCTGGGAGGGCAGTCCAGGCGACCACAGCTGGGTGATTGCACAAATTCCGGCAGGCGTGTCATCTCGTTCATCTGGCCGCCGGACGTGGCGTTACGAAGATCAGGAGGCGTGCGACTGTGACTTGGACAGTATAGACCGAGAGGAGTTGACTATTGTCGAGGCCATCATCGGCGCCGTTTCCGAAGTCATGGACAGGCCTCGGTCAAAAGCGATTTGCAGGGACAGGCGGCGTATGCGTGAGCCGACGCAGATCAAAGACCTGCGTCGGCGAATTCATGCTTGCTTGGGCCCGGGCCAGGTGCTGGCTTGAGACGCCTTCTCCATGACGCGAGGAAGGTGTGGCTTCAGAAACCCAGAGATGTTGAGACTGCGGCAGCGTGCCGCGCCTGCCGTGCCACTGGGCGGAGGCGCTCCGGCCTGTTCAACATACATCGCATGAATGTTGACGGGTCCACTACGATGGACAAGGCTCAGTGGGCGGAGGCCTGCGAGAATGAGTTCGAGCACCTTTTGGGGGGGGAGCTCCGACGAGAACGCTGCGCCATGGAAAGACATGGATGTCCAGGGTTGCTTGGTCGGCGGGCGACCCTTGGATGCAGCAGAGACCAAAGAAGCTATAAATCTCGCTTGCCGCAAACGTCGGGGCATCTCGCTGGGCAACGCTGGCCCCTGCCCAGCTGCTTTGCGGTCGGACGCAGGGGCTCGTCTTGCTGCCAAGGCCTTGAACCTGTTATTGATTGATGACTTGGGATGGGACGATGCGCCTTTGCGGGGGTGCGTCAAGGGCAAAATCGAGGCGAAGAGCACGAGGGCCGTTATCCCCCAAAACTCTTTGTGCAAGATTGGCCATTGCTGCATGGGGGGGCGAATCCTGCTGGCGGCGGATGAATGGACTGAGCGCCAGGGCACGAATGTCTTGGTATTTGCGGGATTGAAGGGTCGTCAACTTTTCGACTTGACTTTCGCGGCGGGCCAGGTAGTGGAGAAGAGCCTCGACAGTTTCAACGAGGGCGCTATTGCCATCAGTGACATTGCCAACTACCATGACACAGCCAGCTGGCCTCTCCAGCGCAGGGCAATGGCCCGGAGAGGGGTGCTGGACGAGGACGCGGTGATGCTTCTCAGGCTCCGCGTCCGGCCAACGCTCCAACTGTCTATTGAAGGCGAGCTCGCTGGACCTCTGCTGCGCCAGCGTGGGCTCTGGACAGGTGCGCCGACTGTGGGCGTGGTTGCCCGATGGCCAGTGGAAGGCGCTCTCCTCCACAGCATGGGTGAGTTGGCGCGCAATCCGTGGCGGCCCCAAGCTTGCGTATTTCTACCGCCGATGGCGTGTTCTGACAATTTGATTGCATTTGGGGCCAGCGTGAATCAGGCCGTCCACCAGCTCGCGGCCATGGGGAAGACTCGAGGTGCAGGGCTTGCAGATCAAACCATCCAGCCGGGAAGTCTTGCGCGTGTCCCAGGGGCATGTCGACAGTTCAAATGTAACGGTGGAGGGCGCAGCGTGGACGGTGAAAAGTTCGGTGTTGTGTCTGGGTCACACCTTGCAGAGTTCAGGCCGCGCGCTGGAGTGCAGAACTTTGGTCTTGCGCAAACTGCAGTCAATGTTCCATGTGAGTGCCAGGCTGCTGCGTAACGCTGCGATGTCAGTTGCAGGAAGGTGTGCCCTTTGGAACAACATGTCAAACAGTTTGATCAACTATTACTGCACAAGGTGGAACAATTGTTCGGGGGCGATCGATGCCGCTCAGATGCGTTTCGTAGCGGCTATCCAGCGCGTGCAACGGTGGGGCGGGGAGCCTTTCCGCTCGTGGCGAACGCGGCAGGCCAAGTCGGCCAGATGCTTGCGCGGGGCGCCATGGGGCAGCATCTGGATTGCACGGTGCATGGGCTGGCGCTGCGGCGTTCTGAGATGCCAGCAGCCATCGCGCTGCAGACGCAGCCTCCCAGCTGGTTGCGGCAGCAGGGGGCCCGGAGACCGCGAGCTGGGTATTCTGTCGACGGCGGAGAGATTGGCACCCGTTCTGAGTGAGGTCGGCCCAGCAAATGGGAAACGACATGGGCTGAGGTGATGGGCGATGCGCCGGATCGTCGCCGGGCGTCGGACGGGGAGGTGGCTAAAGCCAAGTTGATCATCATGTGATGTGTAAGGCAGGCGCTTCTTTTCTTCATGCTTGTACAGCGGCAGCATGTTCAGAAGCAGTAGCATAGCAGTCGATGGGCAGCTGTTTATACCTGAGAAAAAAGATATAGAGAGGGATAGTGAGAAAGACAGAGAGATAACCATGTATATATATATATATAGAGAG